AATTTTTTTGTACCACAAAAAACGTTTTCATTTATAATTGGCCAGACAATAATAATAATTAGTATTAGTCGACTATTTTAGTCGATTCCAACCTCTAGTTTTTCTTCGTAATCAAAATGCGTTTCCTCTTCTGACGAGCTTTTAGTATCTACTTTGTTTTTCCTTTTCCTTGATTCCACTTTAGAATAAGATGGTCATCCTTCCTCCTGATGGATGGCATAAAAAATAACATTTTTTATTAATAAATCCTTTCCATAGAATAGCTGTAAACAAATTATGTTCATAATTGCAAATTTAGCAACCTCGTATTCATCATCTTTTAATTCATCGATAAGAATTTGATTTGTACGGTATCCCTAATAGAAATATTAGTTAGACCATTGTGGAATTTTTTCCCAAGACTATTTCAAAGCCTACCTTCAAAGCTTTAACTGTGGAGGCAGATGTTACATTAAACTGTAAAGCCATATCAAAGTCACGTTCTCCTTGTTCCTTTCGCAGTTTATCAATAAATTCTTTTACTTCAGCTGTAGAAAATGATTTCTCGAAATCAGATAGAATCTTGCTCAATTTGTTGGTTACGTTTATATGATTGTCACGATTTTCGTTGTATCTCCGTAGCGACGCATATATATTATCCCTAAGAACATTGATGTAATCTACATATAACTGACATTTTGATTTTGTATATTCCAAAATAGAAATAATCGACCAATGCCTGTATTTTGTATTATTAAGATATTCTAAAATAATAGACTCGAACATCTTGAAAAGAGGAAGAGATGATAAGTTGTTAATTCATGTAAATAACTCTACATATGAAAAACTAACAGGAAACACAGTCAGCAGTATACTGGTACACAGCATACAGAGATCAGACCTTGAGCACTTGCACTCAACTACTTCCCTGTAGACTGCCTCCAAGCATCTGACACAGGACATAGTGGCCACATGCCAGTAGGTATACATAATGCATTCTGACAACTAGCATGCAGGAATCAGTCCTTGAACACGTTCTCAAGTACTATCTTGGAGACTAGCATCAAACATCTAACGCAGGACGTATTGGCCATACGCTAGTAGGAATGCACGCAACTGATAGCATAAATAAAATCATACACTCGCCTTCACAAAAATATATTGACAAACTCTACAAATTTAAATGATCTTGCAGTCTTGTTAAAAAACTTGAAAATTTTCTTCATAACATTTCAGATCATTTTGTGAAACATACAACAGTTTATTTATTCAAACAATTTCAGTGAACTTGCCTGGTATCACTTGATGATCTTAGTAATATCAGAATACCTCAAGAGGTCATCAAAGATAGTGGTAATTCACGAGAATCATAATACCAAAATATATTCTGGAAATACCTGTGTACACATTTCTTTAAAATCAGCTGGTCAATTTTTGATGACAATATACATATATTGATTAAAATTTTATTATTAGTCAATTGAATGTTTATACAGCAGTAGTAACTGATAGAATGTATCATTGTGACTTGGGATTATTTAATTATCAAGTGACTTATACACAGAATCTATTGAAAAATGTATGTGGGTAAGTGGCTGTTGATGAATTTGATAAAAGACTATAGCCGGAATTCCTAGGTTTCCCGGGTTAAAGATATTTAGGCATAGTCTTGAAAACATAAAAAGATTTACTGCTGGTGAATTCTGTAATACGATTAAAGTATTAGTATTTGTTATAGACGGGCTCGTTATAAAGTATCATAATACTTCAGATACTACAGTGAAAAGGCTTGAAGATTTTACCAAAAATATAAAAACAATTAATTCTCTTGATTATGAATAGCAGGTATAACTTTTTTAGGTTTTATAATTTGTTAAAAGAATTAAAAAGAGAAAATAGATCAGTATTTAATAATAAGATTATTTTTTCTTCTAAGGATTTTTGCTTTTTGTTGGGTAATAGCACACTTTCATTCAGCTTTCTTTTCTTAATGTTCATTATTTTTCTTTCCTCTTGATAAATTTCATCGGTAATCCTTTCTTTGTCTAAATATGTATGTTTGCAAAGATTTGGTATCTGCTAATTTAAAAATGTAAGGGGCAATTTTTTCACCTTGTTCCTTCTTCAAAATACTTTTAATGGTACTGTAATTCTTGGGTTCCATAGTAGATCTGATGTAAATTAGCTTCATATTAACTATTTTTATATAAAGGTAACTGTAATCACTAAATTTTGATCCCTGAAATTTTCGATAATACCAATGTTCACTTTGTCTGGTTTTGTTGCAGCATGCCCCATATATAGTTGAGTGACCACCCCAATGCACTATTGGGAGTTGGAGATCAAAATTAAAGTATGTAAGGGATTTTTATACAGATTCTTTTTTGTCAAGTTGCAAGCTTTCATTTGATGCTATTTTTAATTTATCTTATTTTAAACCATTTTTTGATAATCAACCCCAATTTTTTAATATAAAATATAGGTTAAGTCACTTTTCTATCAATAGATGTTTATTTGGTAATAACGGAGGAGGCAGAGTTCGAATCTTGTCTATAAAATTATTTTTGTTGAGATCTGCATAAAATATTTCTTTTGTTTAACGAACGTTACTGCACGTCCCCATTATATAGTTACATAATGATTACATATTATTTAAAATCTGATAAATGAACGATATGCATATTTGGTATTAATATGTTTAAAAAAAATCTGATAAATATTTTTGTACAAATCTGATAAAATATAAAATACAAAAAAAATGACATATATGTATGTGTGATTTTTTAATAATGTATAAATATGCATATTATTATATCATTATCAATGGACAAAGAAATTAAAATTTATAATATCATTTATACTTGTAATATAACATATACATATATCATTATATCATGTGTATATATGTATGTGTAATCTTCTCATATATATGTAAAATTCGGATAAAAAAACTATAAAAATTTTTTTTTAAAAAAAAATCTTTTTTCAGAAAAAAAAAACTCCCTAATTCATAAAATAATAATAATAATAAAAATGACTTCACCAAAACATCCACTTTTACCACCATCATCGAGATCAAATTCTCCTTTATCATCATCGTCACGAAGTCAATCACCATCATCTCTTACTACTGGATATCAAGCGGTACTTGATAATGATAATTCGTTACCAATAATAATCTCTAAAAATGATGATTATAGTAGTGATGATGAAAATATCTACAATAACAGTAACAAAAAAAACCCCAATAATAATAAATTCTTTAAAAGTAATAATAAAGGTGGTAAATATCAACCTATAGTCAACATAAATGATGAAGAGGAAGGGGGAGAAGGAGATGAGCAAATTCCAAATAATAAAAAAGATATAGAATTATCACAAAATGGTGAAATGGGTGGTGGTGAAGTTACTGGACTGGAAAAACCTTGGAAATATAAAATTATGGCTTTATTATGTGCTTTATCTTTAGCCGGTAATGTAACATTGACTTTTTGATAATAATAATTATGATAACGATGACGTTAGTTATAACAATAATATTAATTATTATTATTATTATTATAAAAACAATGTTTTTTTTCAAATCAGTCGGAAGTCATTATGCAGCTCACACATTAGGTGCTTTAAAATCCACTATTAAAAAGGTTTGACTAATTATTATTATTATTATTAAAATCATTCACTCGTATATGCATATATATGTGCGCTTGTAAGAAATTTCATTTTTAATCCATATATTATTATTATAGGAACTGGGAATAACAAATTCAGAATATGGAATCATTCAATCATCAGTTTCACTAGTTAACACAATTTTACCATTTCTTGGTGGTGTGTTTATTGATACATTTGGTACATCATTAGGATCAATTCTAGCTACATTTTTAATAGCAGCTGGTAATATTTTAGTAGCCTTATCAACCCATTTAATTTCATTTCATGTGATGGTTTTGGGAAGAATCATGTATGGAATTGGAAGTGGTACAATTGTTACGATACAAACTGCTATTCTAAGTCACTGGTTCAAAGGAAAAGGGTTGGCCATTGCTGTTGGTGTTCAAATTGCTGCTGCTAGATTAGTAAGTTCTTTATTGTCGTATGATGGAAAGAAAGGAAGAAAAGAAAAAAAAACTAATAAATTTTTATTCATTTATTTTTTTCCGGGGGAAATAAAAGTCATCATTTTTAGCCAATTTAACAGTTATTCCAATCACCAGAGTTACTGGGTTTTATGGATATGCATTTTGGGTAACAACAAGAATTTTTTTTACATTAATTTTTTAAAAATTTTTGTAAATAAATAGTAATATATACGTTTTTTTTTTTTTTTTAGTTTGCTTCTTTCCTTTGCTTGACTTCTTTTACAATTAATCTGATATATGTCACTGTAAACCGAATCATTCGCAACCAATTAAGTGCCAATGAAATAAGAAAACTTAAACAAAAACGAACATTCAACTATCGCAATTTACTATATTTTCCTACGCTATATTGGATTTTTATTTTATTGGAATTTGGTTTAGGCAGTGCTTGGACTTCATTTTTACATATTCATACGTAAGTGATTATACAATAGTGCTAGATACGTATATTAAATGATATTTAATAAAACATCTATTTACATATGTGTGTGTGTGATTTTAGTGAATTGGTGAAAAAAAGATGGAATAGCAGTGATGAAATTGCAGCATATAATTCAAGTGTGGCTCAATTCCTACCGATATTTGTTTCGCCTTTCCTTGGCTATTTATTAGATAGATTTGGTAAAAGATCTATAGCATGTAAGTTTTTTTATCTGCTTTTATATAGAAATATTTATGTTTAATTAATTTTAACGAATTACATTTATATATATATATATAAAACAGTAATAGTATCAACAGTATTTCTTAATTTATCAATGTACTTGCTTGGATTTACATTAGCAATATCACCAATCATAGGAATGGTATTCTTTTCAATTTCATTATCGCTAGGTCCCGTCTCCCTCCTCTCCTCCATCCCGATCATTCTCCCACTTGATTATATAGGCACAGCATTGGGTATAGTAAAATCAACATCAAATATTGGTGCAACCATTTATGATATTTGTGTTGGTTTGTTACAAGATTTAAATAATGGAGATGGTAAGGATGGAGAAGGCGGTGAGAATGAATATGATTTAGTGATGCAGTTGTATGTTTTTACAAGTTTTGTTACTATATTGGTTGCAGTGTTATTGTCAATTGTTTCTAAAAAATATTATGATGGTGTTTTGGATATGAAAGATGACGAAAGAAAGAACTATTATGAAATGAAAAAAGCAAGTAATGGCAAGAATAGCAATAATAATGGTGGTAGTAGTGGTAATGATAGTAAAAAACCTCCAAAAATAAACTATATTTTTATTGGACTTTTTGTTTCTGCAATGATATCAAGTTGGATATTGTTTTTTAAATTTGTAATTTCAAAAAATTTATAATTTTTATTTATTATTTTTTTCCTAATAATTAATATATTTATTGCATGTATGTATATATATATTGAAATAACAATAAAAAATATTTTTAATTAGAAAAAAAAATATATATGTGATGTATTATTATTAATGAAAAAAATAAAGATTAAAAAATGATAGATACAATAATTTTTTTTTTAATGGAAAAAAAAGATTTATTATTATTAAAATTAAAATCAATAATTAATTCTAAAAAAATCCATCGTTTTTCTGTCTCTCTCTCTCTTGATCACACATAATCAATTCATCTACCCGCCCATCTCTAATTATTATTATTATTATTAAATTTTTGTAAATTGTAAATGTTTATATATATTTGTTATTAATAAAAGGAAAATAATAAAGATGAAAGAATAATATGTTATTTATTAATAATTGTGATATGATTTGGTTGTTTATTATATTAAAATATGTGTATATGTATGAATGAATAAATTGAATGAATGAATGAATAAATGAATGAATTGTGATTTTTTCTCTTCAGGTTTCTTTTTGAGGTTCTAGTAATAGAAAAAATTTAAAAATTAAAATCATCATCACCACAATTACCATAATTATATTTAATTAATCAATTGTTATAATAAATTACCATCAAGTGTTGAAAGTTCTACTTGTTTTGGAATGTCATTAACAATAGTGGACCATCGAATTTGTGACACTAAAAGAAAATCGAGGGTTTCGAGCCGTTAATGATTGAATAATATTTTAATATTTTAATTAAATAAAAAATAAAAAACTCACTTCTTCTACTACTACGATCATTTTTTATTTTGTCCAACATTTCACGATCTAATTTACCCATCGTCATACCTTAATTCAATATTATAAACAAAATGTTTGTTAATTACTCCAAAATTAATTATTCTAATTATCGAATCAATAAATCGACACTACTTACTTCTTGTCATTGAATCTTTTTTACCATGATGAGTTTGAAAATCTTCTCGAGACCTTTCTTTACCTTTATTGCTTTTCTGTTCATCGGTTGTTTCACGATTTTTCGCTATTAATAATTAATAAAAAAATATTAATACAAGGTGTTATTTTTAAAAAAATCCAAAGTCTATAAAAAGAAAAAAGAACAAAAAAATCACACATACTAGATTTTCGAACCATTGAATGTATTTCACCAGTGGTAGGATCAAAAAGTGTAAAAGTTTCACAATTTCTAGGTTCTGGAAGATTTGGATAATGAAGCAATCGACTAGTATAGAAAGCTTGAGGATGTACCGAATTAGTTTTATTAATAGCCGATTTAACGAGATGACCTGTCTTGACTTTTTTAGTTTTTGGTCCTTGGAATGGTGCTTTTCCATCGGATAAGTAACGCCATTTATATGAGACATTCAATAAATCATCAACTTTTGGTCTTCTTGATGGAATAGCATCCCAACATCTAAGCATAGCTGCTACATAACCTTTTGGAGTTCCGGAAATAATTGGAGGTCGTAATCCATTACAAATATCTTCAGCCAACGAATAATCATGTGCTCTGTCGGCATATGGTGCTTCATTAGATGATAATTCCCACATTATCATTCCTAAACTGTATATGTCTGCTTCCTTGGTATATGGTGCTCTTCTTAACACCTCTGGTGCTACATATGGAAGTACGCCATAAATATTTTCAGTATCTCCTTTTTCGTTTACCGGTCGACACATTCCAAGATCCGTTACATAAACCAATTTTTCATGTCTTAAAATGTTACCACTATTTTATAGATGTACAACAAGAACGCACGAGAAATTATTAATAAAAAATTTTTTTTTTACGAAAGAAAAAAAAAATCCTTGTGAAAATAAATTTACCTATGGAAATCACGATGAACTAAACCAGCATCATGTATTCCTTTTAAACCTTTACAAATTTTATCAAATAACAAGATTTTTTCTTCCCATGATAATTCAGTGAAATATTGAGATAGATATCGACGTAAACTTCCGTGATCGGCATAACGCATCACCATAACATATTGATTCTTTTCTGGATCCTTGCTAACCCCATAACAATCAATAATTCCTGATCCTAAACTACATCTATGATGTGCTCTAAGCTAATTATTTAAAATAAATAATTTAATCAATAATAAAAATAATGAATTAACAAAATTATTAATTAATTTAATTTAAGCTTACCTCTTCAAGAAAGTCTCTCGTTAATTCTTGTGAATTATCAAGAAATTTTAGAGCAACCTGTCCCCAAGATTTAGATTTTGCAGAGTAAACAGCACCGAAACCACCTTTAGCAATAAATTCAAGATCTGAAAAGCTATCAAAAGGAATCCATCGCATATAATCAAATGGCGTATTTGCACTTGTTTGAGTCTCGCGAATAAATTCATCTAAATCATCGTCACCACTCGTCCAATTTTTGAACTGGTCTTTAAGTTTTTTTGTATTACATGGTTTACACCAACCAATGGAAGTACGTGGCTCGCCACATTTCGAACATTTGCTTATTCCGTCACTACTTCCATTTTCTTTTGAGAGTCCTAAAACTGATTTTGAAAAGGCTGTGGTCGGTACGGCAACACCTGCTTCTCTTGCTGTTTTTTTTTTTTTTTTTTTTGAAAAACAAAAATGTTTATTATAATAATATTATAATGATAATAATAATAATATGTTATTATTAATATCAATATTCATGATAATAATAAAAAAAGAAAGGTTTAGAACTTTTATTTATCCAATAATAATTTTCTTACCCAAAGTTTTCAGTATGGAAGAATAATCTAAAGCCATTTATATAATCTTTGTTTATCTCTTTTTTTTTAATATACTAACTCTTCTAATATTGTTTACTAATATTTACTTTTTGTAGGTATTATTATAACGTATTTTGAAAAGAAAAATTAAAATTTTTTTTTTAAAAAAAAAGATATATTTTTAAAAAAACAAAAATAAAATAAAAAAAATTTAAAATAGAAAATAGAAAAATTAGATTGATTTTATAAATATAAAAATAAATAAAAAAATTTTTTATGTATAAGTAAAACTCCTTGGGAAAAAAAACAGCCCTATCACATATGCGCCTAAGCTGATAACTTAGTATAATTTGTTTAATGAATTGTTACATTTTCAGCTATAAGAAGGTATGATCGTTGTGGTGCAAATATGTTAATTAAAGGGTTCTTTAAATACTCATACGAGGTTCTTTATTCTTCTAAAACGAATAAAATATCAAAAGGAATACGTTTCACAAGTCTCTCCCAATTGTAATATTAAAATATAATGATTTTTAATTACTTCCATAATTAATTAGTTTTAAAGATAAAGAAAATAAAAAAAAGAAAGTTTATATTTCAACATTTAATGTTGACAAATATTTACATCTATCAAAAATATTTTTTTATTGATAAATAAATAAAATAATAATAATAAACTGAGTAAAAATATAATTTTAAGTAATTTCCCAATACACAAAAAAATTAACGCCAAAAAACTTTCATAATCATAAATAATCATACTAAAAACACATGCAATAACTGAATTGAAAAGTTCATTCACAAGCCAAGTATTCTAAAATTTTCACCAATTAAAAATAAATTATTATTAATTATTTTAAATTAAAGATGATATTTGAAACATATGAAAGTTTTTTTTAAGCCTGATTTGATTTAAAAAAAAAATAGAAAGAAAAAAAGTATTTGCGTCAAATAGCTAGTAATCAACCAGCCATCAATCAATCAGCCAATCAAATAAATCATCCAATCAGCGACTAACCAAAATCCACCAACAAGATTACATCCACCATCATGGTGCGAAATGCCCGGCTTGCATAAAATTTATGTATGCACGGCCCACTCGAATAATCTTTTTGGTTTCCTTTTTGTTTTTTCCTCAAGAATTTAAATGAAAATTAAATCGGGTTAATTCATTCTGTATACGGAATGGATATACATCATTCCCCAACAAAATGAAAATTTGTACTACAGTTGATGTGAAAATAATATCAATGAAAAAATTCCCAATTATCGAGAGGGAGAGGAAGAGAAGAAAAAGAGAGATCAAGTTTACAGGGTAACGAATATAAAATTATGTTTATCTCATTATACATGGATATAGATTAATCACAAATTTTTTTGTATCTGACTCTCTAAATAATCAAAAAAATAAACAAGTTTATAACATGACAATCACATAATAAGGAAACAATTAAAAGCACATACACACATTCCATTCTTTTTTTATAAACAGGTCTCGTTGAGTAGGAGAAAGTAAAACAGTTAGCATATGAATTTACAATTAGAAGCCACACTCTATCGATTGCTAAGTCTTTGGGGGAAATTAAATTTCGCCAAAAGGATAACGTATTATTATTATCCATAGTATCTTGACAGCAACAATTCTGTTTCTCATACGGAAATTTTTCAATAGAAACGCGTATGATGTTTGAAAAAATTTATGGGGAAGACATCAAAAAAATGACGAATCTTTAAAACGCTAAGGTTCAATAGCTATATTTGGAAGTTGGAAAATGGAAAAAAAACTCTCGATTTTAGAACTTAGGCGACAATCCAATAAAAAATTTTATAAGGATAATGAGATTTACCCGTGATCCTTTCTATTTAAGAAAGATTTTACTAGACACGTAATCAAGTATATAATTTATCACATGATTAACATGAATATATGTGGAGATTTTTATCATCATTTAGTAAATCTAATTTATATCTAAACTCGATAAGTCGGACGCAGCAATCAATTGTTTAAAGTACTTTATAATATCCGACTTATCGAGTTTAGATGTGTATACATCAAAAATTTGCTGACTTCCCATTTATGCGAAACAAACTTAATTAATCCCTATATTATTCACGGTATGTATATATGTTATCCTTGGCCTCCCGATATATATATCTCTCGATTTTTTTATTCTAGCACTAATTTGGTGCGCCGAACAAATAAGTGATTGAGTCATGTGATTTTATATCATTGCTATTTTGGGATCCGATGATTTTGGCCATGCGGACCAATGTGTAAATTCCGTCGTGTAGCTAGTACAAATTTAGAGACTATCTAAAAGTTGATTGGATAGTAATATTACACGCGCCTTTTGCGCCCTCTCGCCGGGCGCAACATTTTGATTTTACCCCTTAATACCCCTTAATTTTAGATTTTTTTGGGTTAGAAACTCCTAAATATTAACCATTTTTATCTTTGTACTATATGCCAAACTCTTGGATCTGGCTTACAATGTTCTGCAAGGACGATGATTTTTATGCGGCAATAAATTATGCATGCAATAAAAAGCAAATTATACGTTAATTATACACCAAAAAAGTCAACTAATGCGAATTATGCAGAATTATAATCAGCAATGATTGTCAACGGCTCCACTCTAGAATGATCACAAAAAAATACTCTAAATACATTTGGATGTTCTTTTAATCTATATGTAGTTGGTCAAGGATTGGGAAACTCTATTGAATGTAACCGTCAACACTACGATTTGACACTATAATTCGGGGTAATAATGAATTTAAATTTAAATACAGAAAAGGAAACTCAAACTGAAAAAATGTCACTACATTTTTAATATTACCTTAAACAGAAAGAATACAATCTTCTGTTGATCATGCGATAATTAATTATTAATTATGCAATTTTGGTTGGTTGATGTTGATTATGCATCATTTGGCAATTTTACTGATTATGCAGTATCATGCAAATTGCATCATCGTTCCTAATGTTCTGACATTTTCTCTAATCGACAGCCCCAAGAAAAACCGTGTAACAAACACTTGATAATAAACAAAAATGTCTTTTTTAAATTAATGAATCTGTACGAATTTTTAATAAGTGATGATTTCTAAATATGAATCTCAATGAAATTCCATTTACTTTTATCCCCAACTAAAATAATGCGGTGGCTGTAAAAACGTCAGGAATAATATAATAGATTATTCCCAAGTATATTCTACATTGAATGTTAGCAACTTTAGAAAACAAATAACTTTTATATAAACAACAATTAAATTTTCCTACAATAATTAAAAGATCATATTGAACATCAACAAAGCCGTGGATTGACAGTCCTTCAAATTATCACATTTGGATATTAATATTAATTGTTTTAACTTTACGAAAATAGCGCTGTATATTACACATACTGTATATGCAATTACAGGATATTCATTTATATATAACATACAAAAAAGAATGGGCATATACCATTATATATAATATACACCATTTTTTCTGATGGATATTTAATGGTTATATATCTTTACTATATACAACATTTCTTTATTTGTTTGTATGAATAAAAAGGACCTTTATTGTTTAATAGTGAATAGTGTAGTAATGCAAAAATGCAAATTATCATGATTTCCATGACAGTACCATGAATCCATGATAATAACATCTTATAATTAATGGAAACATGTATATATGCAATTGGAATTCCAAGAGGATGTAAATAGTGTTTTATTGAATAAAGAAATAAATAGGTTTTGAGTCGAAACTAATTAACTTGTTAGAAAGTTATTTTTACAGTAGGTCGAAATTGAGTTCTTTATATACAATTCAATTAATTAGAAATTCTAATATCTAAATATTGCAATAATATCTCAAAGTTGAGACGATATTTCAAAATTGCACGGATATCTCAAAATTGCGCGGAACAAATAATTCTTAATAAATAAAGCTATACATTTGCTAGTATACCCTTTTAGGCTGATTGATACAAATTTTATTTGTTTCTGTTGTCATCAATTAAGGGCTCTCCCACTAAATTCATTGGTGACAAGATATAAAGAAGATTTGTTGTCGACGACGTCTTTCAAATGAATGGGAAGCATGGAGCATAAATAAAAATTGTTAAATTGTTACCGAAAAATATAAAAATCGCCACCTCTCAAAAACTTACCCTTGAAGTTTAATCTAGCACGTTGAGATACACTATTTGGGTACTTTAAAAGTTATTCCAGCTTGAATCTCTGGGTTAAAGTTCAAAAAGTTGGCTCAATATAAAGCCTTTGATATGTATGGTGTTTGAAAGTAAAGCATCGGAAAATTTAACTAGGGAACTTAAAGAACAAAAGTTTATTAAACTTTGTAGATAATTTCCTCGAATAAAAATAGCTTTTTGTAAAATTTTTGTTGCACGAATTTTTATTATATTAAACTAGTTTTTTGACTTCTTTTGGCATGACTTTTACCACCCCTTCAAAATAGCTTTTCAATACTAATTTCCATGCAGGTTATAAAATTCTTTTTTAACCTGACAGCTTTGATTATTACAAACAAATTTTTATATGTGATGTTACAGGTAAAGAATTTTGTAATCAATTGAAAAAGTTATCAAGTTTCTTAATTCAATTAGAATATGTGATTTTTGGTAGTAAAATACGTTATTTGAATTAAGAAACCCATTTTCTTTGCTGGTGTTTTTAAGGTTGTTTGACAGCAATAGCACCTGAAATTCAACCGCTTGTTGTATCCAATTAATTATTATTATTATATAGTTAACGAGAGAATAATCCAAAACTTTTGGATATCTTGGTAATTGAAGTAACATAATCATCGAGTCCATCTATCACTTAATGACAGTGAATTAATTAACCTAGGATTATGCCTTTTCTACTTATTTATATTAAATAAAAAAAAACTTTTCAAAAGTATGCATTAAAGTTCTAACCAAATACCTATAAGAAATGCTTTTATATTAATTCAATCTAGATGTTGATACTTTTTTAATAAGTTGTCTAATTTTTTCATGCTCCAAAGAAAATATATTGTTCTATGTATTTTTATCCCTGCCTCCATTTGAAAAGGATATAAATTACATTTCTGTCTAAATATTCCCGTTTTCCAACTACAACCTTAAAGGTTAAGTCATTATCACCAAAACAGTAACTTTTCTATTAAAAATTATTCTATTTAAACTTTTTTTGGTAACGGTTGATCTAAAACTGCTAAATATTCTTTCTATCTTCATCATCATATTTATATGTATAATCAAACATTCCTCAAATGCAAAATATTCCAAGTTGTGGTGATTTTGAGCAATTGGTTTGTCAATTCTTTTTAACACATAACATTTCATGCATTCATCGTTCACCACCAGTTCAAGAGGACTTCCGTTGATTTTAATAAATCTAATCTGATAGAAATTTTTTACTTTAAAATTTATTTTTAATTAGGTAACAAAATCCTGCTGCATACAAATTATGTTAAAAAACATTAATCTAACTCCAAAGTTTTTATCACATGCATGAATGATACATATTAATATAAATACTGTGATTCAAACTTTACTTTATTATTATTATTATTATTATATAAACCAGTCTCCCTCCCCACAAATTATATACTCTGTACAAAGGTCGTAGTATAAAAATCACTACAATTTCATGACTTCTGTATGTAATTTTTTGATTAAATACATAATGAATTTATTATAAACATAAGTGCCAATTGTTACGGAATGTTAATGAAGGATTAAATTTCACCAAAGATTTTTAACAGCCACTATAATGAATATTCTGTATATTCTGTCTATTATAACTCTCAAATCTTGGTCTTTTTCTTCAAAAAGGATAGCAATAACCATTTTTTATTATTAAAACAAAACGTCATATCATATGATGAATAAATATACATGGGATATTGCATTATGTTGATGAGACATAAAGTTAACAAGGAAATTCCGCAATATTAATATTAATATGTATTTCCTGGAGAATTGCCAACTTTCAAGGCATTTACAGCAAAATCGAAAAGAAAATCTTTCTTTAAAGTATATATACTTATGTAAATCGGTACCAAAAATTAACTTTTATGTGTCTTTGTCATTTGATAATTGGACGAATCTATAGACAACATAATAACAATGATGGTGGTGTATGAACATTCACGGTAATAATAATGAAACTTGTAAAAGAAATTTATTCAATTAAATTTATTCTAATTCTATTGCAAAGTATAAGAGAAAAAGCTGCACAAAAGGATGATTAAAAATACAAGATTAAAATTATGATGAGATATTCGTAAAATAAAAATAGTTAAAGCAAGTATCTTTGGAGAGTAGAATTTAATTTAATAAAGCATATATTCATTAAAAAGAAAAGAATTAATCAATTAAAAATACCTTATTTTTATTATAACGAAGAAACAAATAATTAATAAATTGATAACCAATACTGTTACTGCCATTTCCATTGTTGTTACAGTTGCTGTTGTTATGAGGTTAACCACAATAAAAATTAATTGATCGCTAGTCAATTTATTATTTTGTACATTCACATTCACATCACATTGATGACATTAATTGAATTTAAGTCTTGACAAGTGTTCATTGTGATTGAAATAATGTTGGGTTATCCATTATAAAGCATAATTTCATGATGATTCATTGTTTAATTTTTATTGATTATTGATTTTTTTTGTTTTATAATAAATAATTTATTTTTATTTAGAAAATTAATTATCTGTCCACGTCATTCTTTTTATCATTGAATTATGTGATACTCACTCATATTATTAATATGTATATAAAAAAAAACAATGTGCCGATACTCTAAAATATTTCACAATACATATGTTAGCATTTTTTTTTTCTTGTAATTATTGTATCTCTGTATCCTTTGCATGGCCATGATTAAACATACCAGATTCTACCAAGGATCCGTTGATTAGCAGCTGTCAAATTCAATCCCAAAGAACAATGCTTAAAAGGTTTCGATTGAACCATTAATTTTAAACATCTTATTGTATTTTACCATTCAACCTAACATATTTAAATAATTATTCATCGATTTCTCTATCAAGTCTAAAAATGACATACACTGGCTGTATTGTAAATGTGAATAATTTGAATATGAATATAATGATAAATTGATTAAATGTTATGATAACTTGCCTGAACACAACAGATATGGGTGCTTAGATCATTCTTGCTAAAAAATCAAAATGTAAGGTTTAAGAAATAATAATAAAAAAATAACTAATTTAGCAATATTATATATATTATTATAGCATTATTACATATTATTCGTTTAAAATTTTTTGATATAAAAAATTTTATTTTTGATTAATCCGGCGATGGCATATTGTTATTATTATAATATGGTTGGCTCGGTCTAAAGACCTCCTATTACTGCTCCACGAGCTCAAATTTCAAAAAATTGCGATTTCGTGATTCGTTCAAAAATGCAATAAATTTTTTTAAAAAAGGGTTCACGTGATTTTGGCTAAAAAATTATTTTCCTTACTGCCAAATTTAGATATGATGGTCGAGTATTAGTTTAAATTTAGTAACGATGATCAAAAACTAGTCTAAATTTAGCAATGATCCTAGCGCTTTAAATTTCTCATGAGCATAGTAAAGTACATGTTTTAAAAAAGAATAGAACTCTACAACAAGTAATTTTTTTGAGAAAATCTCTTTATTACATTAAAACCAAATACATCTTCTATCAACCAATAGAGCTATTTTTTTAAAATATAGGACAGAAAATGACTTCTATACTTTTAAAATTTGCCCAAAATTTAGGAGGTCTTTAGACTGAGCCAACTATATAAAAACTCTAATCCATCATTTACATAGTTTTCTGAAGCTGCCATTGCTCCTAATATATGATTTTCTAGATCTTTGATTGAGTTGAGTATTATTGCTCTTGATTTCAACATGCTATTAATAAAATCATTTAGGATTTCTTTAGATTTTTTGAGTGGTTCAGACAGGTGTACTGGAACCAATACAACTTCAAAAAATTCGCCCATACCAGGGTTGGCAAATTGACTGGTCCATTGATAACAGATAGATTTTGGACTGGTCCATTGCCATTAATGAAATACTAAATATGGTTAAAGTGTTACACTAATGAACCCAATGGACCACAAATAGACCACCAATGGACCACACATTTGCCAACCCTGGCCCATACCAATTAATTTGTTCCCTTCTCTCATAATGGTTGATTGCTTATAAATATAAATAAGTTCATTTCTATATGTATATAGAAAAAATAAAACAAAATAATAAATAAATTAATATATATATATGCATACATATTAAAATAAAAAATTATGTCATAATAATAAAAACAATAAATGATACTTTGCTATATAATTGAAAACTAACAATAGGAATTCCAAGAATATCCTTCATATTTTCAAAAAAATACTTTTTGTTCATATCACAAATGGACTTATATATAAATCCCTTTGCATCTAAAGACTAGTGCCATAAATTATGGTTGCAATTACCTTTGTGACCACTTTTGCAACCATACTTTTTCCTTTTTTGGATTACAGCACTAGTCTTTATTTGCATCAGAAGAGAATCTTATTAATTTCATCTTATCCCATTTAAATTTATTTTTGTCATCAATCAAGGGATACCCACTGGATTCCAAAAAAATCTAAACATGTTGTTTGGATGAATATATATAGTTTTGAAATCTGGTTTACAAGCATATGGTGTTTTGTTATAATGTTCTTTTCTTGACATGGATGTGTAACTTGTTTTTTTGGACTAGTGTTCCATGTCGCAACCCAAAAAAGGAAACAAAATGGTCATAAAGGTGGTTGCAACCAGCAGTTGCAATCATTTTTATATGATGCAAAGGTGGTAGCAACCATCATCAAAAGTTGCAGCCGGTATCCTTATTTTGGACCTATATTCAAATATTCAAAGGTTGCATTATATAAGTGATATTTAATTGAATTTAAACAAAAAAAACTTCAATTTTCAATATTTGGTAATTACCATTCAATATGTATGTGCTTTTTCCTGAGCAACATGTCAAATAAAATACTTAGATTATGTTGCAATGTGCCTTTGTTGTAATTCCATCAGGAAATTTTCCCCACCACAATATTACTTCTGTAAATTTTAATATGTAAAGTTGTAATATTTGCATAAAAATTATGTAATATTTACACTTGATGTAATAATTGCATAATTTTTGTATGCTTATTTGCATAATATTACAGGAATAGTGTAATAATTACATAAATCTGCATCAGAAAAATTTCCTGATGTCTCTAAACTGACTGCTTTGATTGATGAAATTTTCCAAATATGCTTCCTAAAAAAGAATAATAATTAATTAATAATATTAACTATTTTAAAAAAATCATCATTTAAATCTTAATGCAAGTTACATTATATAAAGAAGGTCTTCAGTCAAATTTTTGTCTTCATTAATATCAATACAGCTAAATTCTTTTTGAGATCCATCAAAAACTCATACTCTTGGTTATGATTCTTATCCAACAAACTCGTAAAGTCAATGTTGAAAGATAGGAGAGGGTTGTACAGATCATTATACAATGATTTGGTTTTGATGTTTTGTTCAGAAAAAATGATATTAAGAATAACTTCATAAGGAGGTCTCCGGTCATCTAGCATCATTTTCTAAAAAAATTAAAAAAAAAATATCATGAAAGTGATGACAAAAATAAAAAGATAACCATGACATCATGATGAAAACACTTGCCTCCCTTTTGATATGTTTTATAATTCTAACACAGCTTTCAAAAAAATTATTGTACTAAGTTGGTTATATAGTAAGTATTAGTGTGTGTATATACATGTAAATAATAAAATGAAATAATTTTTTTACCTCTATATTTGCAATAGGCTCATATTCATCATCATCAAAATTTCTATGTTTCATAAATTCCTTTTTTTCCTGTTTATTATATTTGTTTATAAATTTTTTTGCTGATAGATGAATGTTTATTTCATCCCAGGTTTTTTTGAATATAGAAGGATGTTTTTTTCTTTCCTAAATAAATTCAATTATACAAATCAATTAAAGCTGCTCTTTTTCTTAAAAAATGATAAAGAACTATAATCAGATTTTAATAATATAGTCATTCTTCATATTATTCATATAGCTGGTTCTACTCAGTGCTCAATGGACCTGAGCTACCTTTCAATTATCTACTTGGAGACCAGGGCGCCTCCCATTTCAATGTTGTCTACTCAGTAGATATTGCTACCAATTCAACTCCATCTAATCAGTCAGCTATTAGGCCTCCTTTTTTTGACCAACCAGCAAAAATTAGAATAATATGAATTTGAACACTCATTGCTAAATACACAATGATTGATAGCCAGTAAAAAGTCTTTATATGAGCTTCATGTCCTATGCTTAATCATTGTTTCAAACCATTGAAATATCATTATGTTATTTTCTTTTTTATAAATAAAAAAAAGTTTACTTACTTCACCATGAAAAGCATTTACAAATTTGTTGAATGTTATTAAACCATTCTTACTCAATAAATCTTTGTCATTCATTAATTTATTGATTATCTGATTTGTGACCACTTTTTGTTGTATTTTGTTCTGGAGAGATATATTTTTGTCAGATAGGATTAAAAACATCACTAATAAAAACTTTAATAAATATTTCAAATCGTTGTTGTTGTTTTAGTTGTTGTAGCTTGATTGGTTGGATTGCTGTCATTTTTGTTTTGATTAATTCTATTAAAATCATTGCTGTATACACTATTTATATAAAACACTAATAAAGTTTTCCTTCCATATTCTTTATACATTTTTTTGGAAATTTAGAGCATGTAAAAAAATTTTTCATGGAAAGTTATGTTCAAATCCTAAAAATTAAGGGGCAGGTCGTTTTGCCTGAATTTTTGCTGATTGGCATTTTACTAATAAAAGATTACATAAACACGGGTAGAAATTCCTTTTTGATTGGCCAATTTGTTTTTCACGTATACACAAAATCGTCACCATGCTATTAGTGACCACACGGATTAGGCGTTACTGTGTTTCGCATATTCTGAAGAGTACATATATTAATATTAATATATCGTCATCATTACATACATCCTTCCCAATTGACTTATGTCACACATAATAGTTTTTAATATAGAACAGCCTGAATATTTTACAAAGACTTTGTAGATTATTTCTTAAAATTGGACACGTACTAGTGATAATGTAGTAGGCATGGTACACCACAATAATTACAGTGAAGACTCGATTCCATTATAAAGAAAAATCTCTTTATAGTGAACTTAGTATAAATAAATTGAAAAGTCCCTTATAACGAGATGAATTTTTTAACTCATGGTAACTAATTGTAAATTATCTGTCTAAACTATCAACAATATACTGTTTCCACTTCTTTCTCTTCATCAGCATTCTCAACTTCAGGATTTGGCCCCACTGTTCTAACGATTTCTTTGTCAGTTAGTTCTTTGTACTGGTACTTCATCACCAATTAAAACGCTCTGCAGCAGTTGGATCTTGCATATAATACTTTTTCAAGGTCCAGGGCAATATATATAGTAATAGGTAACACGTAGGTTTGCTTAAATTAGAAAATGAATTGGCTTATCAAATAAATTGGGTCACTATGTTAGGTAAAAATACTTTGAAATTTGATCATTTTTATCATATTATTCATGTTAAGGAAATTGTTTGCATTTTGTGGTAAAACAATTAAGATGCTGGGTGAATATTACTTAAATCATCATGCAAATGGTGCTGGATGTAAAGGCGAAGAACAATTTTCAATTTTACAAACCTGCTCAAATTGAAAACACAAAGCTCAGAAAAAGAATTTGATTCTGATGTATATGATAATATGAATGATGATGACTTATTCCGAGTAGATGAAATAATGATGCTACCTTAATAAAAACGTCAATTATGAAATACGGCAACAAATGGACTGATTGAAACTATTAACAAGGTTTTACCAGGGAGCACGCAGTGAGCTTTTATGAATTTTTTAAATTCGGTATGTTAATTAAATATTAATTATTGCTTTTGCTACTTTTTAATTTGGCCAAGACATCTCTGGTTCACACTTTTCAATCTTGTGTGTTCTCAAATCACAGATTGATCAATTTTTATACAAGAAAAGTCGAAATACAAGATATCCCAAGAAGACACTCTGCTCATAGCTACACGTATACTTGATCAGGCACAAACATATTTCATCAATGTTGACAGTTTTGTGAGATAATATTAATCCTTGGGTTTTATGCACGATAAGTGCGAAGGCATTATTCAGAGGAAATCGTTGTCTTGGTGCAGGACTTCCATTGATATTAAAGCAAATGGTTTCTTTTTGCACAGTCATCTTGTGGTATCGCAGGTTGTTTCAACATTTTGAGGATCAGTCATTTTGATTATCACGCAGATTGTCCCACTGCAAATTCCATGATCAAACAACTTGTTGTTGAGGAGCATCACTTTTGTAACTTCTTGAAGAGTGACATGCTTGGGGAGGTTTATATAGCGGTTGAAGCGAAAATCTTCGCTTTGATTCTGATTGAGGATGTACAAATCAGCAATTAGTTTACTAGTTAATTATTGTCTACATGAAATTATGTTTAATTTTTTTGGTATAAAAGTTAGAGCTTTAATTTAGATTATTAATTGATTATTATCATAAATAATGAGAGCAAAAAAACTTTAGTCATAATTACGATTGATTGATTCAAAAAAATTAATTCAAATTGCAGGTTAGTAAAAATGCGTCCTTTAATTTTTTTTTCAATTTTGCATGAAAAGCAATCTTTGGCAATATGTAGCTCTTTTATTGCTGTTTTTTATTTTATTTTTTATTTTTTATTAGATGATGGCGGGTTGAAAGGATTGAAACGAAGTTGGTGCGGATGAGAAGGCTATCCACCAAGTATTACGTTCTTTATCATCATTTTTTTATTATATACAAATCATTTATATTTAACGACCACAATTATATGTATCCATTGAGAAAGGTGAAGAAACTTTTCAATTTTTAGCTATTTATTTTTCAAATGAGATTAAATTTACTAAATTCGCCTCTTTGTATGTATATTGATTTTTTATTATTCGCGTAAGATTTTTCTAATCATTAAACAATAACATGATTTCACGGTTAAACTTGAAATATTTCTATGTTGGTGTTATGAAAAAATATTGGTGACGGCTATCCTATTTATATGTTTGGATTTAATAAAATATGTGATAATAATAAAAAGCAAGAGGCTTGCTTACATTGCATTCTCAGTTATAAATTGGTTAATAAAAAAACCATACTAGTCGGTAGCGATCTTTATCATGCTAACCAAACATTAAAACTTCCATCCGTTTGTTTGGGAAAAAGATTTTATAAATGGTAAGTGTTTATCACGTGGTAAAGGTATCTACATAGATCATAAATAAAAAATTATCTCGGAAATTTTTTTTTTTTGAAAAAAATCCTTAACAATGGTTTTTGTTAGCTATCTCATCTCTTCTCCTCTTATGCTCAAGCTTTAGCAAAGCGGAGAAGAGATTGGGTTGAAATTTGTAAAACCTCGGAGAGAGGAGTTTTCCAAAAAAATGATAACGCGGCGTAGTACAGATTCCAACTAATTTCTTGTTTTTAAACGAAAATGTAACGGTGAGCTCCGTAAAACACAAAATAGCATTGTAGAACGACGATATTCTTTGAATGGTGCATTGATCGAGTAGTCCAATAAATTACCACGAAAACGTATAAATAGACCTGCTACCTCCACTCGTGGACCAAAAAAAAACGGTGCGTCGATTTTGCTTTTTACGTTGCGTTCGAAATCGAGGGTCGAGACACATAGTGCCGAAACGGCATTCTACGATTTGCTTTACATATTACGCTCAAATACAAAGGTTGGGACAACAGGAGAGACCGTCCTGCATAAGGAAAAGATTTTCACAATTGATTTCAATTTTTTTATACAGTTTAAAATACTTTTACAAGAATATTACGTAGCCCATTCTTGCAATAAATCGTGTGTAAATAATTTACACAAACTTGAAGCTTTACACTTTGTTGTTTTCATATCTTTTGAATCCCTTTGAATCCTACAACTTAATACAATTTACTCGAAGAAAAATTGCCTGAAATTAAACGTTGGGTTTAAAAAATTTTTTTTTTTAAAAATAAAAAAAAAATGCCTAGTCAGTTAACTGGTATTATTGTTGTTAATAACTATAAAGAAAAATTTACTGAAAAATATAAAATTGTATCAGGTGAAGCAAAAGGAAAAGGTGAAAGAGTTAGAAGAGTTTTTTGATTTGGAGTTAATCTTTCAGCCAATTTTTCAAAAAATTAAAAATTAACTACTTTTTTTTAATTATACATTATTATCTGAGGAAAATTTATTAATTATTAATTATTGCATATAGATTGCAAAAATCAATCACTTTCACTGGAAGCAAAAAATTGTTTTCTTCGTTTAAAAAAAAATTTTATTATTATTTGAGAAAAATTTTTTTAGTCCATTTTTTCACCGTAAGCAAAAAATTGCTTTCTTCGTTCGTTTTAAAAAAATTAATAATTCTTATTAGTATATTTATTTATATTAAATACTAACAACAATTTCTGGCATGTTTTTACTCTCAAAACTATCTTTCACTATCATTAAACAATTTCTTGTACTAAACAAT